TGCTTTCAAGGCCTTTTAAAATCCATTTTCAGGGCAACTACTAAGTAAATAAAGGACCCAAATTCAAAGACATTTGCCATAAAAATATGTATCATTTAGGTACTTCAGACCAAGGACTGACAAACCATGGCCCACATGCCAATTCAGGCCAGCCACCTGTTTTTGTCAAGTTTTGTTGGAAGATAGCCATACTACTTATTTACATATCACCTACAGCTGCTTTTAGGCCACAATAAGCAGAGGTGGTAGTGGCAACAGAAAGTTGAAAGTATTTTCTACCTAGGCCTTTCGAGAAAAAGTTTGCCAACTTCTACCCTAGGTTAATAAAGACTTTTAACTAATAAAAGAAGAAACACAGGATAATGAGCTCATGAAAATATTTAACATCTAAACTATATACCAATGATACTACTATTTCTAAAAACGCAATAACAGCTATATATCAGTTCATAAACTTTTAAGAGTAAAGGGATTAAGCGCAGTATTAATAGAAATGGTCAATATTCCAAATACTTTGTTTTTTATAAGCTTTGAACAGTACTTCAAATTTTTAGCAGAGCTGATTTTAGTATTAAACACACAAAACAAATTGCTACTATGCTATTGTTGATTATTAGCCACGATGAACAAAACTCATAATGCCAAGTCAGCATTTCTATAGCAATCTGTAACTCCATTAGCTCTACCACATACAGGTAGAAAGGGCATTACTTTGTGAACTTAAAAATAAAAAAATGTTTATCTTTTCTATAAGAAATTACCTAATATGATTCAAGCCAACCAACTCTCTTCTGCTATCATACACAAATGAATCTTCAGCCAAAAATAAAAAAGAAGATAAAGTTTATTGCAGGAGGGGAAATGGGATAGTACTTAATGCATTTCCTTAGCTGCTACAACCAAATTAACATCTCCATTAAATAACACAAAAAAAATTTGCTCAGAATAAAACAACATCCTTTTGAAAATCTTAATACCACACTACTACAAATTCAACAATAGATAAGTTGCTCCATCAATGCTTTTGTAAAATCTGAATTTTATGTCTTTATTGCTATCAGTTCTGGCTGATTTCTGCCAAAAATCATTAGGCAATATCTTAATCATATAAAAAAATAAGTATTTACTGATGAGTAGTGTAAAAAAAAATGAATGGAAGATGGGAAAGAAACATTTATTGAGTGCCTATTATCTATCCTAGGAAGACTTCTTATAAATCCATTTAATAAGGATGATTCCATGGACTATCTAATCCAAAATGTGTCATTTTATAAAATTGGGACATTATTTTGTAAGTTAAAATTTTCTGTTGTAGCTAATATAGACTGGGAATGAAACTTTTAAGGGTCATATACCATTGACAAGCTTTTTTCCAGTTTATTGAGATATAACTGACATATAACATTGTGTTAAGTTTAAGGTGTACAATGTGATAATTTGATATGTACATAATGCAAAATGTTTATCACAGTAAGGTTCCTTAATGTATCCTTTACCATACATAATTACCATTTTGTTACTGTCATTGTTACAGTAAGACCATTAATTAAAGCTCTACTCTCATAGCAGCATGCAAGTATACAATACAGTACTGCTAACTATAGTCTCTATGCTGTACAATAGATCCCCAAAACTTATTCATACTACAACTGAAAGTTTGTACCTTTGACCAATATCTCCTCTCTTCCCCCACCTCTCACCTCTGACAACCATTCTATTCTGTTTCTATGAGTTTAGTGTTTTTTGATTCCATGTGCACATGAGATCATATACCATTTGTATTTCTCTGACTTACTTCACTTATCATAATGCCTTCAAGGTCAATCCACGTTGTTGCAATGGCTGGATTTCCTTGTTTACTTCTTTCTCAAGATTTTTTTGGCTATTTGCGGTCTTTAGTGGTTCCATACAAATATTGGAACTGTTTTTACTATTTCTGTGAAAAATGCCAACGGAATTTTAAAAGGGACTCCACTGAATCTATAGATGCTTTGGGTAGTATGGAAATTTTATGGACACGGGATATCTTTCCATTTATCTGTCTTAAATTTCTTTCATCAATGTCTCATATTTGTCAGTGTATAGATCTTTTACCTCCTTAGTTAAATGTATTCCTTGCTAAGAATTTTCTTGTTCTTCATGCTATTGTAAATAGAATTGTTTTATTTCTTTTTCAGATAGTTTGCTTAGTGTATACAAATGCAACTGACTTTTGTATATTGATTTCGTATCCTGAAATTTTACTCAATTGTTTATTAGTTCTAACAATTTTTTGATGGAGTAGTTAGGATTTTCTATATACAAATTTATATCAGCAGAGAAAATTTTATTTCTTCTTTTCTAATATGGATGCCTTTTACCTCTCAGAAGCAGCTGACACAGTTATTCACAATCTCCTTCCTGTCTTTTCTGGCTTCTGAAACACCACTCTCAGTTTTCTTTCTACCTCACTGTTAAATCATTTTTGTTCTCTTCCAGACAGTGCTCAGTCTTCAGATTCTCTTCATTAATTAATAAGTTTTTCAGTCCCATGGTTTTAAATACATTTAAGTCTTAACAGCATTGAAATATACATGGGAGAACCAACATCTACCCAACACCCCACAGGCAGTCACTCCACACCATCATGTGAATGTCTAATGGACATTTAATACTTACACGTCCATAACAGTATTCTTCATCTCCTACCTCCTGAAAAGTCTGTCCCCTGACAAAGTTTTTCTGTTTAAGTAAATGGCACCAGCATTGCCTCAAATCCTAACACTTCTCACCAGTTTTCCACCCTAATCCAATACTCTGTTTGAATTAATGCAACACCCTCCTGACTGCCTTGCCTCTCTATATTACCTTCACAAAACAGCCGCCAGAAAAGCCTTTTCAAAGCATAAACCAGTGGTTTCCAGTCTGGAGTTTAAGGGGCTGAGGAGTCGCCACTCTGTCCCAGCAACAAGAACAAAATGGAACAAACTGAAAAATCAATCTCTCTTCTTAGATCCATTAGGAAACTGACTGCCCCAAAAGTCAGAAAGACAGGAAGGTGGGTACAGAGAATCACCATTTATCTGGGCAGAAACCAGGGGTTCCGCGGGAACCAGTGCCATGGTAGGAAAACCTAAATTGTAATTGACAAACTGTTGGATGCTCAGTGTGGACAAGTGTGAGAGTGAAAAACTTCCAGGGGTACCCAGTCATAGTAATTCCCCCATACTTCGTGAGTTTTACCCCGAGGATCTCTACCAGGTTCTCACAGTAAAGATCAGAAAGAAATCTTCTCCTGTTTCCAGGGGGAAAGGAACCATTTTGATCTACACCAGAGCATTCTGTTCTTAACAAGGCCTGCCCTCAGTAGAAACTATTTTACTAGAGCTTAACCTGCTGGGGTTTTATCAGAGCCCAACCTACCTGAAGGAAGAGAAACACCCAACTCCAGTCCCACCTAGCCATCCTATCCCAACTACACAGGGCGAAAACTGAGAAATACGGGTGAAGTTCAGTCCAGGGGCACGTGCTCATCAAGAATAGATGGATAATACAAGCAGAGAGATGGAAATTCTAAGAAACAACCAAAAACAAATGCTAGAGATCAAAAACACTAACAGAAATAAAGTATGCCTTTACTGGGTTTATCAGCAAATCGGACACGGCTGAGGAAAGACTCTCTGGGCTTGAGGATATCACAACAGAAACTTCCACAGCTGAAGAGCAGAAAGAACAAAGACTGAAAATACAAAACAGATATACAGGAACTGTGGGACAACTACAAAACATAAACCACATCATGACACTAAAAACCTTCAAACAGCCTTGCATCACTTAAAACAAAAACAAAAGTTGTTTCTAGATCCTAGGAGATTTCTAGTATTTCCCCCTAAATAAAGAGAAGGAAAGTGATCCTAAATTTTAAGATACCATACAATTCTTGGTGAGGGGAAGAATGGCTATTTCTATTTAAACCCAAATTTGTTTTATTCCCCCAATACCCAGATACACACACAGATACCTTAGATACTTTTATTCTAGTTTTCATTAATTTTTTCACCAGGTAATATGTTCACATAGTTTTAAAAAAGTCTGAAAAGGTACAGTAAAAAGCCTCCGTCCTATCCAGATACCCAGTTCCAACTCCTACCATCAGAAAGTAAACACTGGTATGACAAAGCAGGGACAGACAAATATTTTCTGTAAAGGGACAGATAGTACATATTTCAGCTTTGTGGGCTATTAAAGTCTCTGTCACAACTATTTAACATAGCCATTATAGAACAATCTTAGGCATGTAAACAAATCTTAGAAAACATGTAAACAAATGTGCATAGTTGTGTTCCAATAAAATTTTATTTGAAAATACAAGCTGTGAGCTGAATTTTTCCAGTGCAGTCAAACTCTGCTATAGAGCTAAATTTAAATATATCTCTTTTATAAAAAAAGTTTAATGGTGGTGTTTGGAAAGGACTGTAATGAAAGAGACTACAACAAAGAATGCTATTTAAAACAAAAATTCATCCTACTACCAATAAAGATGCATTAATATACATTTTCATATAAACATAAAATATAAAATTTTCATATAGACAAGATTATTCCAAGATGTCTCCTCTATAATATATTATATATTACGCCAAATATACTCCCTGTGACTTAATTATGAAGAACTGGAGGAACACTAAAACAAAACAGACTAACAGGTAACCTAACTAGCAGCACATTGTCAACATTAATCTCTGACTCAATACTTTCCTTTTCATGGTAGATCAAATATATAATTAACTTTTTCAGGGAGTACCTTAAAAAACTAAACCAGAGACCATATTTAAAAACAAACTAAATCCCAAATGTATATTTCTCAATCAAATCAACTCCAAAATACATGTTCCTAATAGGTCTTACACAGGTTTTAATAAAATAAATCAAGATTAGAAAGAACCAGCTCTGTCTGAAAAATAAATCATTGCTAGACTGAGTAACCAACTTCTCAAAATTCAGGAATGAATATATCTTACCTTAGATGCCATTCTCATAAAAAGTTTGTTTTGATTTTCTGCTGTTCCCATCTTTTCGTTCTTGACTAAATCATTCAGGCTTAGATTATCATCATCATGAAAATATCGAACCCTTTCTTTTTCCTCATAGGTTGAAGCCTAGGACAAAAGAACAATATTAATTGAGTGAAAACATTTAGTCTCTGAAGTATTTTAATGCATTACCTATAAACCTGATACTAAACATAAAAATCCCACTATGTATCACAAGCTTTCCTCCCAGTTTATCCCTATCCTATCTGCTTCCATGTGGAAGAATTTCCATTAGAATAACACACCCTATTTTTCTGCCCCTTTACTCCCTTCTTCCCCAAGGATAGAGGCATGACATTATCTGATTTCTGACTTTGGGGTACAAGGCAGAATTGCTTTATTCCTTCTTCTCCCCTCTGCTCTTTTCCTTGTAGTAAAAACTCCCTACTCCTATCGACAGAAATCTGTAGTTATCCAGAGATCAAGTAAGCATATTGAAAGGAGGTGAAGTATTAGCAAACCCACTTCCAACAGCTCTATCAGAAACAAAGCTGATATTCTGATTCTTATCTAAATCAATCCTGAGTTTTCCTATCAGTTGGTTTCATACCTACATGAGGAAGAGAAAAGTGTTGTTTGTTTACTGCCAAATCAAATCTCCCCAACACTGTTCTCACATTCCCTTGCGCAAATAAAATCTGCTCTTCAACTTCTTTGAGATCTCTGGAACCATGTTCCCAATATTTTTTTCCAACATTACTATTCCTGCCTTCACTAGCTTAAATCTCATATTCCATGACTTCAATCACTCTCTGGCTCCAGGCTCTTAAATTCTGGCTGTCTTACTCTTTCATTATTCTCGAAACGCAAACCTCAATCCTCAATGAATATGTCTGCCCTCTACTCCTATATGTAGTTTGCTTGGTTGCAGGCAACTCAAAAAGAGCCCTTGATGCCGTCTGGCAATGCGTCTACGGATCCCTAGCCAGTTCTGTCACTTCATATAATTGAAACCTTTACTATTCTCCTGCCACGTCACCCATCCAAACCCCTAATTCTCCCATTTCACTAGAAGAGGTACATATCCCACTTCTATTTGCTGAAGGAGTTAATTACTATCTCTAGCAGCATGGCCACTCAACAGGCAAATGATAAACATTTGACAGAAAAATTCTGAATGAACAAATCTTTTGTGGACCCAATTACCACTTGTATGATCTTTTGAATTTAAAAACTTAACTTGAGAAAACTGACTACTTTGTTTTTGTCATCTCAAGAGCCTCAAGGTAGTGTTAAAAACTAATTGCTAGAGCTGGAAGATAAAAAAGAAAATTAGGTTTATAAAGGATCACAGCAACTACATAATTAAGACATTACTGTATTTGGATACTCCATCACCAGTTCTCAAATTAGCTAACACAGATAACAGGTTTGGGAGACCAAGGTTTTCCGTAAAAGATATGGTAAGTATATAAAAAGAAGCTAGACACAATATCAAAGAAATGTACACTAAAATTAAAATTGCCTTAAACATTCAATGTTCACAGTTATTTGAAAACTGTAGTTAAATTGGATTCCATTTTATAAAAGGCAAAAGGATATAACTAAGAATAAAAAATAATATATTTTACTACCTTCTAATATTTGCATTATACAGAGATTCCAGAGAATATTTTGAGGTAGTCTGATTCAATGAAAGCCCCAAGGGGGAAAGAAGGAGTTCTGAATAAACAAAGACATATGTTAAACGTACCATCTGTCTCTTCCTTCTTCCTCCTTTAGATTCCAGAGGTTTGCCTGGTGTGTTCACAGGCCATACTCTTCCAGACTGATCTGTTCTGACAAGAATCACTTCTTGCTGGTCTTCATTCTATGGGAAGATTTAGAATTTAGTAATAACTTTTGAAATTATTGTGAAGAGTGTTGAATGCTTGTATTTACTAACAAGAAAAAAGAGTATAAAAATGATTCCAGCTTTCACATAATATTATGGCTTAAGTCCCCTGGACATCCATTACCCACTATAATGTCAGAGGACCATAATCTTTTCAGGGAAAACATGAGGAAAAATAGCCAATTTATTTTATTGTTGCTTTTTTCTTAAGCAATCATAGAAGCAAACTTCAAATAAAGGTTTTTCCATCTAGACACTACTAAAAGATGACAAAGAACAAATATTCAAACAGACATTGTCTGAGAGTGTCCATCACTTATGCAGTAGATGTCGTGTTTAACTGATGTTTTTTCAAAAAGATCTTACTAACACTTGATTATAAGAAACAAAGTAGGGCTGGTCGAGTGGCTCAGTTGGTTAAGAGCTCACTCAAGAGTTTGAGCTCTAGCAACAGCAGTTCGATTCCCAGCCCGAGCTGAGCTGCCAACAGGTAGCAGGATGGCTCAGTTAAAAAAAAAAAGAAACAAAGTAATTAAATGACAAAACAAACTTGTTAATTTAGCCACTTCACATAGCTGATAAATTAGCTACTCCATACACAATGGTACTCTACACAACTTCTATTTTTTCCATTAACAGTTCTGAAATGCTTTTCACTTCTCTGAATCTTCGGAAGTTATATCCCTACTTTTAATCCATAATCTTTTTTTCTACAAATTTTTAGCCAAATATATACATGCCTGGTACAGTGTAGAATAAGACTAAACTTTACTCTATGATGAAAATAGAATGCATTGGAAAGGTACTAATAAAGAATCACATAAAAAATATTAGATAATCTATTAAGAATCAATTTGAAATAAGACCAAGTAAATTATTCACATTTCAAATTTCTTCTCAAATCAGAATCAAGTATTAAAAATCAATTCTATTTAATAGAGATTTGGTCCCCGTGTTGAAATGAAATTTAAAAAAATATCAGGGCCAGCCGAGTGGCGTGTTGGTTAAGAGTTGGCTTGGGAGTGCCAGCTCTGAGCAACAGGGCCCCGGTTTGGATCCCACATGGGCCAGTAACACTGCGCCCTCTACAGCTAAGATGGTGAACAACAGTTCAACCTGGAGCTGGGCTGCTGTGAGTCTCCAGTGACGGCGTAGGCTGCAGTGGGGCTGCAGTGAGGCTGCAGTGGGCTGCTGTGAACTACCATGAGTGGCTGGCAGCCAGCGTGAACAGCCGACAGCTGGCGAGAGCTGCAGTGAGCAGCTGTCCAATGGCCGGCAACCTATCTGCCTCAGCCGGGAAGAGTGCAATGATCACAATACCAACATGGGCCAGTCCTCCACAACTAGACTGAAGAACAAAAGGACAGCAACTTGTCTGTTCCCCTCCCCCAATTCCCCAATAAAATCTTAAAAAAAAAATCAATTATTGATCTTATATTCACACACAATACTAAGCAGGTGGTAAAGATTATCACTGCTTTTCTCCTTCAATTAATTAAATGTCATATTTTAAAGGGTATCTATTCACTCTCTTATTGGAAAATAGAGATGGGCAAAACACTACAATCTGGCTTCTAAGTTTATCATATTGCTACAGCTGATCTCCTAAGAACTTCCAAATTACTAAACCTAATAAATACTTATCAATTATCTTTCTTGATTTGAAAGCATTTGATTCTGTTTATTATATTCTTTTACCAATTTTAAATACACTACTTTCCTGGTTAAGCCTTACCTCTCTGACCCATTCATTCATTCATCATCCATCCAGTCAATATTTAAAATGCCTACTTTATGTAGTAACTATAGAAATATAGTCCCTCCCTATAAAAAGCTTATAGCCTATTAAAACAACTATTCTCTACATGATCAGTATAAAGGAAGTCAATTTCACTTTCTCCTCCATTTCAAGCTACCCAATGCTGATGATTCCATCTTTCCAGCCTGAAACCTAATTATCACTTGTATTGTCAAAAAACTCAGTGGCCGGGCGAGTGACTCAGTTGGTTAAGAGCTCGCTCAAGAGTTTGAGCTCTGAGCAACAGCGGTTCTAGTCCAGCCCGAGCTGAGCAGCCACTGAGCTGCTAACAGGTAGCAGGATGGCTCAGCTAAAAAAAAAAAAAAAAAGTAAGAAAAAAACTCATTATGTTAAACACAAATTATGCCCTTCTTTGCTAAAGAACCTGCAGAGACCCTGTATCATCTAAAATCAAGACCATTCAAAGTGTGACCCACAGACCAGTGCCAATCTGAGAATTACCAGTCATGGAATATTTGTTACCAATCCATGATGAGTTAAGGAGTGTTTAAAAACTTTTATAACAAACTTAAAGAATAATCTTGCTGTTTCGTAACTGGCTCCTTTCGTCCTTTCCCTTTCTTCATGCCCTACACTGTATGTTCTGCAGTTGGGATGGGCCGCCTGTCACTGCAGGGCTCACGTTCAGTCCTCTGTCAGCTCACCGTAACACTCCAGGAGGCCCTCACGCATGAATCCCCTCCCCCAACCTAGTAAGGAACACTCCTACAGGAGAGCTGAGACCCCAGGCCAGGAGCTTGCAGCAGCCTGAGTGGGTGCAGTGGAGAGCCTGCCTGTCTCACATGAGCAGTGTGCTCTCACAGACTCTGGGCATGAGAAGGAACAGGTACATTTTCAAAGTGTTGCTTTCAGCCTATAGTGTAAAGCTTACAATAGATCACAGGTTGTTTGTTTTGTCCCTTGACTACATAGGTCTTTTATGAGGAAGAGGGAGGTCGAAAGAAAGGGAGGAGGAAAGGGATGAAAGATAGAGAGACAGTGATAAAGACATGCCTATATGTATCTGTATATGTATAGATATAGATATAGAGATGATACAGAAATAGAGATGGAGATAGATAAATATAGATATAGATAGGCGAGAGCGCAAAAAGTAGGTTTCAAAAGAAGTGTGTTAGAAATATAGAGCACATGCTCCATGGGCAGGCATGGACTATGCATTGCTCTAATTGGTCAACACTGGGACAGGGGTGTGTGCGACAGTAAGTTCACAATGAGGGGATAGAACATCAGATGCTTTTATAGTTTGCTTGCTTCTCTTTACACATCTGTCCTATTATCAGAAGCCTAAGTAATATCTTTAAAATAGGGGAACCTTAAGCCTTGAGATAGAGGCCATCTGCCTTCTGGGCTAAAGCTGACAGGTGTTGGGATTCAGAAATCATTTGACTCCCTATGTGGAGAGATTGCCCATAGAGGAGAAAGCTTGGAATAGGGCTCATTCTGAATAATTCAGGAGATTCCTCCTTGTAATGGTTGAAACAGAAATAGGCTGGTTTCTCAGGGAAATTAAGAATGAGGCCCTGAACCTTCCCCTCACCCATATCCCGCTTACACACCCATGTCTAGTATGAATGAGCAGTCACCAAGCTGTTTTAATGTGAGCTGCCTTCACTACATTTAACCTAGTCATTTGGAGCGACATCATGGTAACTGAGTAATCCCTTTGAAAGTTAAGTGGTAGAGACAGGATATTAAAATGGTCCTGGGGCTACCTGGATGAAAGTAGGCACAGGGTATGAATAAAACCACTTATTAAAGGAAAATAATAATAATCATCATAATCATCATCATCATCATCATCATCTTATGTTGGTTTCATCTAAATAAAATTTGGACCTATATTTTATCTTTATTTTTTTCTAGAATTTTTGTTTTACAAAATTATTAGTCCATATGGAACTGGAAAATTAAAAAAAAAAAACAAAAAAAACCCCCACTCAGATCCTACATTCCAGTCTGGCAAACATGGTACTAGATAGTAGAATAAAGGCCAGGCATCTTAATACAGTACACCAGGCCTGCAATTTCACATACAGAGCCCTCTTCAAATTCACTTTTTTTCTAGCTCTTTATACTTTTGGTTAATTTACTGTACATTTTACTTCCTAAATAATTTTAGGCATATTTATATTGCTAGACCATAATCTTTTAAGTAAGTATTTGACTATTCACAATTACCTCTCTTTGCTACTTTTCTAGGCCAAAGACCAAGTTATACAATGCTTGGTATCTATAGTACCTGACACAGTGTCAAAATACAGTGGGCACTCAATAAATGCTTGATAAATAGACTTAAATTGGGGCCTCAGACAGATTATACTCCCAAAGCTGAGCTACTTTCTACTTTCTTCTTCTCCCACTTTTCTTTCTGTTCCTCAAGCTTGCCAATACAAACGACACTCACTACATTTTACCACTTGGGTACCCAAGACAGAAATATTGAGAAGACTAAAAATATTGAGAAAACTTGAAATACTGAGTAACTTCTATTATTTGCTACCACATTAATATAGAATATGGGGGAAAATTTTTTTTTCAAGTTGGACGACCTGGAGATGTTTTTGTCTAGGAAATCTCTTGGAACTGACGAGGGAGAAGAGGTCCTGGGGAAGGGAGCTGCTGAATAAAGACAGACTTACAAAACAAAGACTTCTTTTTGTTGGGTACCTGAAGGCGAAAAGACAACATTTACTGCTTAGCATAATATTCTGAATAATTAAAGAGCTCGGCAATACAGTTAAAAAAAATAGAGAGACTATGGGGCTTACTTAAGAATTTATATCAGGATCAACAAACTAGGGCCAACAGGCCAAAGAAAATAAAGCAAACCAAACAAACAAACAAACTCAAAGCAAATATTAATGCCAATTAAGAACAATTTTTCTTTTTACATAAAAGACAGACAATCATAGTATAATTTGGCTCAACAATGTCTATTGACAGAATCAAGAGATAACTTTGCTTAGCAATAGAGAAGTAAAGCCAGAAGAAACATAACTAAAAGTGGCTGCCTCCAGGATCCAGTAAAGGTCTGGAAAGGGCTCAAGGCACTGTTATTTTTTTTTATATATATGCCTTTTAGCAATATCTGTATGCAATACATTGATTAAAAAGAAAAGTTAAAATCATACAACACTTTGAATCAAAGGTGGTA